CTAAGTAGAAATGTACTTTCAAAATCCACCATTCTATACCAATATTTGACAAGGTTCAGCCTCGGGTTCAGCACACTCGTTTGAGAAACGACCCAAATAATCAAGACATGTAGAAAATGAAATTGCTTTGTGGTCAATACTCAAATGAATTATATGTGCTGTAAATGCACCCGAAATTCCGACCCACACTGAGGAGTGACACAGCACAGCGAAAATATTAGTGTAAAATAAAAATACTGACTGCAAACACCTTTCCTCTAAGTAACGCCCGCTAATGACAAAGCACTTCTGTGACGTAATGGACGTAGCAACGTGGTCGTCTGTCAATACAAAAAACGTAATTAGAGACTTCATGTATTATGTTTTAATTGAACACAAATTATGAATTTATTATGCAATAGCGATTTTTACAAGTACTGCAATGTGTTTTCTGATTATCTGAATTATCGTATATGACCATAAATTTATGAAGACATGGTTATTGTTCTGCCAATGTCACTACGACTAAGTTTGCAACTTTCTCTTGTTTTTACATTAGTTTTGGAAAATTCAGTGCGCCCGGTTTGAAGTTTGTCTGATGATTGAAAACATGTATACATGTTTTTGATTAGCTGAATGTATTTACATTCCACACATTGAATCACACAATTACTGTATGTAATATAAAGATAAGTTTTTAGATAGTATGATAATGCAACCATGTTGCAATGTTTCAATTTGAGTATAAATTGAAATTGTTCTTTATCAAATTTTGCTAATTTACTGCATGTTTATGGAGTTGTTTTGAATAGCATGTTTCTTTCTTTATTGAATAATTTACAGTTTATCAAATAGTGTATTTCATCTTCTATTATATGACAATGAGAGCAAATTCTAATGGTGTTTTTAATTCGTGACCAATCACGGCCATTGCACAAGGAACGAGAATAATTATATATAAAATATATATAATATCGATTATTTTCGATCATTATGCGATGGCCGCGATTGGTCACGGAATATTTTGTTTGTGTGTTCTGTCCTTTTTCTATTTCATTTTTGTGACAACTAAATCTAACCAATCAATTGTTTTAACGTGACGTGTTGGTCATTTTTTAATATGTTCATGGGTCCTTCTTTGCAAGTGTATTTTTTAAAATACCCCATGTAATTTGGCATTATCAATTTTGTTTTTAATATTCCAGTCTTTTTCTTAATGATTTTTGATTAATGTTTATATTTTCGATATTCTGATATTTTCTTGTGAATATAATGTTCAATCTTTTAATCATAGAATGCTAAGGTTATCTATAGTCTTGAGGTATATATAGTAGTTTATTGCTAAGCTGTAGACTTTACCTATGAGAGGTTCTCTTACAAGCCCCTACATCCTATTTTGCTTACTTTGTTTAGTGATTTGTTTCCATACAGTACACAGAGAGCCGCGGCCGCGGCCACGCCCACTCCCACCTTATGCCCTCACACTGTATCCTTGCGTTACGCCTACACACAATCATCGAAAACACTTTACTTATTGAGGACAATTAAACAGCATGTGCGAGGTAATATTTGTATAGACGGCATAGCATCATCCTGCAATACTTTTGATTCCTGAAATTGTGCCTGCCCTATTATGTAGACTTCAATTTCAAAATTGAATCTGGCCGCCATAAGTGGATTCCGCTCAAAAACAGGATTTAATGTATTGTAGAGCTGTATT